GAGTCGCATATGAAAATCCTAGCTGTTGTGATAAATGATGTTAACAAGAAATGTCTAAGTTGTCAACTCTCTGTCTCCCTTTTTATTTCATTTATTTAGCTAAACTGAGGACTGAAGCAATGGTGTGAAAGCAAACAGCAAATGAAAGCCACCAAAACTTATCAAAATCTATCAGAATCTATGAGTTTTTTTCTCAGAGTTCGTCTGTTTTCCAGTCTGCTTAAGCGCTCGAATGAGCATCTACCAAAATTGCTGACTACAGGAGCGAGACGCCGTTTTTTGTCAGCGCGTATTTCTTAAACAACGTCCAGGAGTCGATTTCACACGTCTTCTCTCCATCTACGGAGCTAACACCATAAGACGAAACAGCGATCCTTTATTGCATAGCCGTGATCTATTGAATCATATACAATCAAAATTCCAGCAGACTGCTGTGCCCATAGAAGTGGCCTCGCATGATGAGAGATCGGTTAGCATTCCAGCGCAAACTAAGGCAAGTTTCTACATGTTTATTTAATCAGATAAGCCTGCTATCGATTTTACGCGATTGGCGGTTGGAAATCACTGTATATCTATTCTGTGTGGGATAATAGCTCTGGTTTGACGTTTGCAGCGGGACCTGCAGAAAGATATGTATAGCTATTATCAGGTTTGCGCGAAACGTGTTTATTACGGTCTATTCCAAACCTTCACTTTGACGTGAAGGTGGCATCATCAATATGGATAACGATGGCAGGCGACCAGACAAAAATGTTGATGTCCCCGAAAAATTGAAGGAAATGGCTGGTATGTGATCACTTTTATACACACCACATTCTAGCGAATGTATCCTTGCCTATACAGCCGGTAATATTCGAATGCTGAGGACAGTGTGGTCAACCTATCTAGATCGCAGGAAGCGAGTGGACGTATTGAATGGGTGGATAGTTTCACTCGGTTGCTTTTGTGTCTTGAATCGGACACTTTGAACACAACTAATCCGATCGGACACTTTTGCATGCTTATCCTGGTTATTTAAATAGACCAATGAACCCAAATCACCCCATGGTCGACCCTAACCCCACTACCTCCCCCAAAGGGAGAGCACCTCGCTGTGCTCGGTTTGAGGCAGTCCTGAGTTTGAGCCCGCGTGCTCCGCGCACGGCCCACCAAGTAGAGCTCTACGTGGGACCAACCTCTCACACAACCAAAACAAATACAAGCCTATAACTGTAAACTAGACGAATGGACTTTCCGATATTATCGTTATAGCCAGATGAAACCACCAAATCTGCAAACGTGTCTGATTGAAAATGTAATTTTGCAAGTGACCAGCTAAAAATACAGAAGTAACCCGTTCAAAGCTAATTGTCGTATGGACAGCCACAGAAAAACGAAGGATATGGCTCAAGGAGACTGGATCCTAGTGGCTGTAGTGGACCCAGCCCCTAGATAGGAGCGTTGCGAGGCGTACATGACCGCTCGCAAAGAAGGCACAAAAAACAGTGTACACGGTATATTGGAGTGTCACAATTGCGCCCCACGCAGGCTTTGTCGTATTCAAGTATTCAAGGATTAAAACCATCATTTTCTAACAAACGATCTTGCGATGACAATGACAAGGAGATCGCTTTCGTCCAGCTCCGAAGAAGCTAGAGGGGACGGGGGGGTGATGGTGTTCACGGCTTGCATTCGATAGCACGGTGGATGGGCGAAGCGTTTATGGATCGGGCACTTTTCCAAATACCCATCCAGGCACGGGAATTGAACCCACGTCTCCTGTTAGCAGATGGGTCGAACAGGCACACCCAAGCCAGTGAACCGGAATGCACACCAGTATTTTAGTCCCTCACATCTGGTCTAGTCAAACCAAATCTATTTTTGTTTGGCATCGGTTCTTTTTTGATACAGGTTATGATAAGGTTTAGGCGGAAACTCCTGGAATCTGATTGGAGCTCTACCGTAAAGGCCATCCTCCCACTGAGGGCGTTTTAGCGGATACGCATAAAACTTTCCCCTTACTGGCTCCTGTTATATTCTTAACCCAACTGATGCAAAAACTTGCTTAGGATTGTATAGTAATATTCCAATAGTAAAATGTAAAACACATCACAATCATCCCAATCAGACAGAATAAACCTGATCCAACAAGCATATGCTATAGTTTTGGATCCCGGCCACGAACGCCGCGAAAATGTCCGGAAAGACTTCGGGACACTCACGAAGACTTGACTTCGCCGGTGATAGCCTGACGTCACACGGAGTTGTGTTCACGCTCGACATACGGACCTGGGAATTTAGCAACATGCTGATATTTGGTCATATCTAGCTCCGACTACAAGTCGCGGGTCTGATATGTGCTGAAGCTCTTGCCTTGTGTATTTTTAAGTGTACTCATCTCGTTTAGAATCCCCCGGCTGCTATCGGTCAATGTGGATTTCCCGTTTGATGTGGTGGCCAACTGCAACGGCTCGATGCGTTACTTCACGGCGTATTGTTCGTAATGACGATGTCTACGTATTGACACCACTGTACGCCGTCGGCGTTGAGTAGGTCGACGTGCCGTACTATAGTCGCGATGGTATTTTGCAATTGGTTTGTCTTGCAGAAGCTGGAAAACGATT